GAGTCCTGGACCCAGCAACTTGAAAGTCACTCCAGGCCCCTGTGGGTGGATGACCAAAATCCCAAGAGTAGAATGGAGGAGAAGTGATATGGACGCCTCCCTAGGTCTCTCTGGTGAGTATTTTTGTCCTATGGCAAAAAACTAAAAATAGAGGAAAACAAAATAGAAAAAAAGGTAAAAAATTGTCAAACCTTAATGGAAAGCATAAATTCATAGATACAAAAAGCTCAGCAAACCCCAAGTACCAAAACATAAAGAAAATATTCCAAGATACAATATACTTAAATGGGGGAGGAGGGTGGGTGGAAAGAAAGCTGTGATAAAGAAAAGAGTTGAGAAGCAAACTCAGAAAAAAATGACATGTTATCAGGCCAGTGACTTGATGTTTAAGACAGCTGGATATCACATGGCTGACTAAAGGTCCGAGTCTCAGACCTGGCAGCTTAAACAGCATGTATGTCCAAAATTTTGACAGGAGAATGGGAGAGACTGTAGAGTGACCATTTCCCCTAGGGATGTTTTCTCACTTTTTCTCTCTCTCTTTGCTTCTCTCTAGCAAGTGCACATATCCTATAGCAAACTAAAAGGGAAAGAAAAGAAAAAGATGTTATTATCAGAAAAACAAAGATGAAGGTGTCCTTTTCTCTCTGTCTCTCTGCCTCTTTCTGTCTCTCTGTCTTTTCATTTTTTTAATTTTTCTTTTTTTTTTTAATTTTTAAAGTGAAGTATTTTCTTGGCTCTGAAATCCTCCTTTATCTTCGTAATAATCTTCTCCCCTTTTTCCCCTCCCATCTAGGAAAAGCAGAAAGGACAGGCCAGAAGACTGAGTCTGCCACGAGAGCTGAGATCTAGTACTTTCACACACGTGGTTTTCATTTTTTTGTTTTTTTAAGTTAACAAAGAAATCCTTTTTTGTTTGTTTGTTTTATCCTTCTTTTCTCTTGTTTCTTTTTCTGTTTTCTTATCCTTTTTCATCTGCTTCATCACTTTGCTGCTCAACCTCCATGCACTGAGTGTCTAGACAAGTCTAAGTGAATAGTAGCCAAGCATCTGAATACAGTTAGGGTCTTCATATTCCTCAATTCCCACTGAATCTATGACACAAAGGGAGAAAAACAGAACACCAAAGAGTTTACAGATTACCTCCTCCTGTGAAGAAGAAACGAATAACTCATCTGATGACTAGAAATCACTGCAGAAGCACAAGAAATATGAGAAACCAAGAAAATATCTCTCCCCCAAGGGAAAAGAATAACTCCTCTTTATCCATAGACAGTACAATGGGAATGTCTGATAAAGAATTTAGAGTATTCATAGTGACAAAACTAACATCGATGGAAGAGAAGAGAGACAATGAACAGCAGAAAAAAAAAGTCACTGAGTTCCAGGAGGTGAAGAAGTTCTTGTGAGAGTTGAATGAGGAAATACACACCATAAAAAAGAATCAAATGGAACTATTGGAGATGAAGGCTATAATACAGGAAGTCAAAACCTCCTTTGAAAGTATTAAAAGCAGACTAGATCATACAGAAAATTGAATCTCAGATGTAGAAGACAGAATTGCTAGACTAGTAAAAAATTCTATTTCACCACGTTTGAACTGGTGAAATAGAATTTTATGACTTTTGACTAAAACATTTCTGACCTGCTATGCTTTGTTTTCCAGAGTTAAGGAGTTTTGTCTTCTCTTGAACCGTGGACAGGTCCATGTACCTACTATTCGAACAGAAGCCTAACCTGTTTCCAGGCTTTAAGTCTTAGGCAAACTTCTCTTAACATTTTCTTATTTTGATTTATTAAAGCTAAAACTGCCTTTCTTGAAATAAAGAAAAAACTATTTAATGACCACAGTAAGCTATAGTCTCAGCTAGGTGCTACTTTATAGTATATTCAATCTACCCACACAGTTTCATGTCTAAAGTCAACTTTTGTTCACAGATAGGTATATATCAGCTGAACTTACTATTGAAAGTATGTAGATTAATTTAGATATTTTGTGAATCAATGAAACGTGGAAAAGAATAAAGGAATGAAAAGCAACTGAAGATACCACAGACAGGGTGGGAGGAGGATGGAAAATGGCAGAGGTGAGAAATGGGAGGAAATATATACATACAAGAGACAAGAAATGGAAAATTATTTGTTGACAATAACGTATGAGTAAGCCACTTTGCAGTGTATTCTGGCTGGAAAATCACATTTAGTATGCTGTGGTGATGTTCACTGAAATGATGTAAAATAAACATTCTCCTCTTGGGATCTTGGGCATGCACGCACACGCACCCAGTGTGAGTTTAAGCCACTGGGTCTGGGACTCGAATTACATGGGAGTTCAGCTACATAGCCATTATACCAACTGCTGATCCCAAATAATTCTTTTTTTAAAAAAATTCAAATTTTGTTGTTGTTATTACTAATAAATCTCCTTTGGGGTTAAGTGACTTTTTAAGGAGCATAGGGCCCACTCCCAACACCTATAAAATGTACAAGGATTTGTCTGTGATGTTGCAAAGGCCTCCTTCCTTCAGTAACTTTTTGGGCATTTGAAGCCAGGGATTTGCTTTCATTTCAGAAATGTTATTTAAGAGAAATTTAGCATGCTTTATGTTGGAAAAATAGAGGGAATAGTTAAAGATGAGAAGAGTGCTTTTTTTTTTAGTTAATAATTTTTTATTAGCACAACTATTACAAACTGATTTTTTCAGTACATGAATATAATGTCTAAGGATTAAATCAGGGTGCTTAGTATACCCGTCATCGCAACCATTTGAACATGATATACAACAAATTGTCATTAATCATTCTCCCCACTAGACATTGTAACTTCTGCCTGTCCGTGATTTTGTTTCTGTTAATCAACATCCTTCTATCACATCCCTCCCCATGCACAAACACACACACAATTCTTCTCAGCATTCCACATCTGAAAGAGTATGTATTTTATGTTAAATAACCCCTTTCAGCATCTCTTCTGCAATTCTCTCTATTACCCTATTCTCGACTTCCTTTCCCTGTCACTCTCTCTCTTCTGCAGCTCTTTTCATCATTGGATTTGTCTCCTTTATTACTTCATTTCCCGTCCTCAAGTTTTTCCACTCAGCTACAGGGATATCATGCATATCAATCATTTTTCTTCCTTTTTTTTTTTTATAATTGCCAGAGGGTGCAAAGGGAGACAGAGAGACATAAACAGAGAGAGAGAGGAGAGGGAGAAAGCATCCCCCATGGGGTGGCATCATAACGTAATCCCTCTCCTTCCTTTCTCTATCCTTTCAGGATTTGGGGCACACATATGTGCTTAGTGTGCTCCCTGAGCCACCAGGGCTGGGACTGGAACTGTTTAGTCGGCCATGTGAGATCCAGCTACCTAAACCACCAGGCCACAGCACTGGCGCCCAGTTATTTTTCTAATGAAGCGTGAGGGACATGTAGACTCTTTCTAGCCAGGTGGAGCTTGTAAACTTGGGTGGACTGAGATGACAGAATGAGAAAGGACCAAGGAAGGGCACTGAGACAAGGCTACCATAGGGGTGACAACAAGGACATACCACGTTTGTGGACAGCAAAGAGAGCAGCCTCCAAACAAGGGGGCAGGTGCTAGAGACAGGGTAAGTAAGAAGAGAATGGAGCACTAAGGGCCTTAAAAGTCAGCCTGGGAAACTCCAGTGGGAAGCTACAAGAAAAAGGGAGCCCTCTATGGTTTGAAAACAGAAAAGGGACATTATGAAAAGTTAGTATTTTTAAATCTGCCTATCATTCTCATGAGCAACCTTTGAATGCACACGATGTCAAAAGGGTGACAGGTTTTGGGGGCAGGAAGCGCTGGCCCTCAGGAGCACTGCCTGTCCACACCCACGCCTTTGCAGAACACACAGTGTGATGCTGAGATAGATCCTGGGAGGCCAGGGTACCAAAGAACCGGAACTCAGAGCTCCGGACTCCTTCAGAGACGTGGAAAAGCTTGGTCTTAACTAAGCCTCTTTAAAGGATTTTGTTGGTCTAGAAAGAGGTGTCCATTCTGGGTCTTTGTTCTTCTCTTTTGGTGAGGAAAAGAAATCTTTACTAAACTGTGAACTATGTTTGGTTTGCTTTTTCTTACACGTTGCAAAAAAACTCTCCCACAGTTTAAATAGATATTGTCTCTGTGGCCGATGTGCCGCTCAACCACGCTGGTAATCAGTTATTCAAATTTTAACTGGATTCTAATCAAGATGAGACCACTTAGACTGTTTTTCTGTAAGTGGAACTCACCCTTCTGTGTGATTATTGAGTGGCAGCATCAGACTCATCTCATGAAACTACCTCTGGAATGGAAAGCATCTCCCTTCTTGAGTCATGGGTTCTCCTCCTACAGAGAAGAGGCCTTTGAGACCCAGGCATTTTCCTCTATCACGCTTTCCTCTGTCAAGTACATACTTGTCTGGCCAAATCTAGTGACTTTTCACTTAAGCAGCCGCCACCCTGATGAGGAAAACTAGGTCGGAAGATCCAAAAAGGTAACTGTAATGCTACATGTTGGTTAATTGTCAGTTTTACAGGTCCAGTGTAAGGGAATTCTGCACCAAACGTACATGCTAAATGCCGTGGGAAAGACTGATAAGAAAAGAGTCCCGTACAACAGGAAAAATGCTACAGTAATGTAACATTCACTTACATGTAGTTATTTAAAATTAGAATACTACCGAGGAGTGGTTTCAGAATGACCTGGAGATGTTAGAAGAGGAACGGGAGCAGGTAGGCATACATCAATAAGCAGGATAACTTATACAGAATGTTGAACCATGTGGACTTACAGATAAATAACTGGTTGTGATAAAACTCTGCAATATCTGAAAACCACAGAATTAAAGGTCCACCCAGCCTGGTGCTGGGCATAGATTTTCTATTCCCCATTTTTCTTTTTTCTTTTTTTTAAATGATTTCACTTTATTTATTTTTTCAATTCGACGAGAGAGAGAGAGAGAGAGAGAGAAAGTGAGAAAGCAAGCTGGCAGGTTCGGGACTTGAACCATGGTCAATCATGTGGGAGTCCAGTGTCCCCAACCACCATACCACCTACCGGCCCCATTTTTCTACTGACTCTTCTGTTCTCTGTAGCTTGTCATTCCTCTCCTATAGCCCCAGGGTACTAAGACTTTGCTTGAGTAAAAATTACTCTAAGAAATGTTTTCTTCTCTTTGCAATATCCTGAGAAACAGAAATGAAGTGGAGGGATAGACAGTGCAGAGGGCTGAGACCGTTGATGTTGACCTGGAGCAGCAGTGAAGTTGAAGGATCTTTTTGAGTCCTGACAACTCCGGGAGGACAGGCAGACACTGGGTTCTGTGGGCAGGTGCTCACACTCGTGTGCACACATCAATGCACACATTTCTTTGAAAAGAAGCACTGATCATAATATCTCCCACACTCATTCACTGTTTCCGAATCATCTCATCGGCAACACTTGCAGTGTTATCTCCTTGATTCTGCCCAGTTCGATGGACCCAGTTTTGTGGCTTTATAGCTGAGCTAGGATGAAGTTCAGCTTGGCTCCGAAGAAGTGTGTGTGTGCGTGTGTGTGTGTGTGTGTGAGAGAGAGAGAGAGAGAGTGTGTGTGTGGGGGGGGAGATCCATTCTAAATTTTAAATGAATTAGCCACAAGTTTGAATTGTTTACTTCTTCAGTTAACATAAATAATCAGGAGCTCATTCGAGTGCTGAAGGGTAGATGTGGATAATAGGAGGAAAGAAACAATAATGAGCATGAATATGCCCTTTGGATAGGCCCTCATCTCAAAGCCCTGTGGCATTTACAATTTGGTGCCACTAACTAACCAGCTCATCAGAGAATGGCCTGTCAGCACGGTCAACGCTTTCTTGAGTGATGTAACACTGCGATATTGGCACCTGGGGGATTGTTTGCCTGTGGTGAGATGGAACATACTAGTATCCAGTTCTGGGCTCTCACAGCAGCTTCTACCGACATTCCGTTCACACTTGCAGCCGGAAGCCTTGTAGATCCTGTGCACTACCTCCACAGAGCCAGGGATAAAGTCATTGCTCAACTTGCAGGAGCCATTGGCTTCTGAATCTTTTCTCCAGACCAGCACATCATTGCAACACTCTTTGTCGCGTCCTGGACTGTTTTCTTGGAGGACGCTGTAATGTAACCTTCTGAATGTCAATGGTGAAGAAGACTCAACATTCTTGGACGTGCTGAGGCTAACGTTTTTATCTAACAGGGTCAAGCTCATTAATACCTCAACAGTCTGTTTTCCTTGGTTACTTCTTGCCGTGTCATATTTCCTTGCTTCCTCTGTAAATTCTTCTTTAATAAATTCCTTTATACTTTCCGAAGCGCCCTCAAGTATCAAGCCCAGGCCAAGCAGCAGCAGAAGGAAGGTCTCCATCTCAGATCTAGCACAATTTCTTCTGCAGTAAAAATAAAAAGTAGAAGATAAAAGCAAGGAGAATATTAAAAAGAGCTCTTTTTTCCCCCAAGATAGTTATTTTCAGGAGTGACCCCCACATCTAAGTGGAGACTCCTACATCATTTATGGAAGTAGGATACAGTAAAAAGACAATCAGCAATGGAGTCTGAAGACTCAGGTTCAACTCCCTTCTTCACTTACGGTTTACACTACTCCATTTAACCTTGGTTTCCCCATCTGAAGACAAAGGTGAGAGTATATCAGGTGATATTTTTAAAGTGCTAGAACCAAGTATTTATTTATTTTCCTTTCTCTTTGCCTTTAATCGCTGTGGTAGGTCATGCTAATCTCACGTAACATAGTCTCACCAATCCTTAATCTTCTACAATCTCTCTCAGTCCCTAGCAGATGGGAGTCACTTGAAACGAACCAACACAAAACGTACAATGTCACGTCCCCATCTCATTTCTTTTCTCACCTATTCTCAGCCGTGGGCTTTCTGTCTGTACCAGTTCCTTTGGTAAGTCAATCCTGCAGAGAAAGCTCCTGGCCTGTTGCAGGGACAGAACTGAATTTTTTTTTTTTCCTGAGAGTTTCTGTTATTGGGCTTAACTGAAGGAAGGAGGGGCAAGAAAAGGATAGAACTGTACGAGATTGACGGAGGAGACAAGGTGGAACCAAGGACACTCAGGGAGAGCTGATCAAAGTGTCCACTTATCAGTCAGAATCCCATGACCTAGGCAGCCCCATGGCTTCCTCATCTGCGAAATCTTTTCTATTTATACTTTAACCCAGAGTGATTTTTTTTTTCTTTCTGAGAAAGTACCGCACAGATTTTGTTCCATTTCATTTTGTGTGATCTTTTTCACTTTTCTAGTTAGTTGACATGTGTCAGTCTTTTTCCTGTCTTAGTAAAGCTAAAAACTCCTTGAGCCTGAGATGAAGCGTTTGATTATTTTTATTCTGTACATTATCAAATGCTGGACTGTACCTATACTAGCTTCTCACTCATGTTTGTTAACTCCATAACATGGCTTGATTAACGTAGACAATCCTTTACTTGAAATCAATACTGGAAAATGTATGAGAATCCCAGAAGGGATGGTTATGTAAGGTGATACTTTTTTTCTGTCGTGCTAGAATGATCCTATTGTTCCTTTTTCTCGCCATCCTCTTACAGTCTTCTCCCCTCTACATAAGTCTCCTGCATTGTCGCCCTTCCTTCCTTCCCAATCGCCGCTCCTTGTCCTTCGGATGCCTTCAACGCACTGCTTTTCTAAAAACACCTCTTTCAATAACACCATCTCAGAATCCTTTGCTACTACTCATTGCCAACAGGAGGAAGTAAAATCCTCTGAGGCCACTAGCCAGGGATCTGCTTGATTTACCCCCATTCTACCTTTCAAGGTCTGTCTCCCATTACTCACTCACAGGCCTACTCTGGTTGACCAATGTGACCCTTTTTCTCTGTATATACCAGATCCTCTCTCTCCTTTTTGGCTCCTTTCTTGAATGGCTACCTTTCTCTGCCTCTTGAAATTCTTCACAGCTCCACTCAGATCCCAATTGTTTCTTTGACACATCTTCTCACCACACCTAAATCTACCAAATCCATATCGTAGTTTTATAAACTTCTTAGCACTCACTTTTATGCCACTCATTCGATGGCATGTGACCTAAAAGTACACATGCACTTTAAATTTTTTTAAATTTAATTTTGAAATGTCTCATGTGTGAAATTAGAGCAAAGACCTAGCACCAGAAATATCCTTAATAATTGGGTCAATGGATTATTGATAGATTATTAAGCATTATGTGGAGTCTGCACAGGCCTTGAGATGGTGCCTTGAGCGTAGACTTGGTACATGTGGAAGGGAAGAGGGATTTGTAGAGAATTTTATTTTGTTCCCTAAATGTCTGCAATACTCTGCTATTGACAGCCGTCATGAGGTATAGTAGGAAAACAGGAGAAAAGTAAACAGGAAGAACAGTGCAGGTTCCCAGTCTTTCTGAAACATGTTTATGAAGTGGCAGAATTCCTAGTTGCCTGGGTTTGATTTTCTTTCTTTTTTTATAGAGAGATTTTTGCTATAGGGTATGTGCACTTGCTGGAGAGACAGAGAGAGACAAAAAGAGAGAAATTACCCCCCAGGGCAGATGGCCATGCCACAGTCTCTTCTCCTCTATTCTCTTCTTGGGATTTTTTGCACAGAGAGAAAGAGTTTTAACCCACCGGGTCCAGGACTCAAACTGCAGTTGACTACATGGGAGTCCAGCAACATAACCATTACACAATCTGCTGGTCTCTGGGTTTGATTTTCTTTCTTCCTTTTTTCTTTTTAAGAGAGAGAGATTTTTGGGGACCAGCAGATGGTGTGGTAGTTAAGACGCTGAGTACTCCCACATGGCCGACCACGGTTCGAGTCCTGGACCTGGTGGCTTGCTTTCTCACATTCTCTTTCTCTCTCTGTGTTTCTCTCTGGTCAAATTAAAATAAATGAATGAATAAATAAAAATAAACTATTTTAAAAAAAGAGAGAGAGAGAGAGAGATTTTTGCTATAGGGTACGTGCATTCACTGGAAAGACAAAGAGGCAGAAAGTGAGAAATCACCCCCCCAGGGGATGGCCATGCCACAATCCCTTCTCTTCCATTCTCCTCTTGGGATTTTGGGCACGCATGCACATGTGCCTGGCATGAGCTTAAGATGCTAGGTCCAGGACTCGAACCATGGTTGACTACTTTGGAGTCTAGCAATGTAACCATTAAGCCATCTACAGGTCCCTCTGGGTTTGATTTCAAACTGCCCACTAAAATAATATATTCTCACCCCAAACTACAAATGTCTCAAATGTCACAATTCATTTGAATTGAGTTTTGATCCTTATTGAGTGAAAATATTCTAAAGATAGATTGCAACAGATAGTCTCCATAACTTACACTTTAATGAGAATGCATTTGTCTGCGAGCATTTGTTTTCTTTAGAAGAGGGGAGGTTGGGGGCCAGTGGGTGGCATGGTAGTTGTGGCACTAGACTGCCACATGGCTGACCACAGTTTGAGGCCTGGACCTGGTGTCTTGAAACTCATGCTGGGCATGTGTACATGCATACCCAAAACCCTAAGAGGAAAAGCAAGAAGTGATTATAGTGTGGTCATCCCCTCTGGAGGGTGATTTCTCACTTTCTCTCTGTCTCTCTCTGTGTCTCCAGCAAGTGCACATACCCTATAGCAAAGAGTCTCTCTTTAAAAAAAAAAAAAAAAAAAAAAAAAGAGGCAAGGTTAAGGCAGGAAGGGAAGAAGAATCACTGAGAAGGAAAGGGTAATAAAACCTAGAGAGAGGGATAGGAAAAGGAATCAGAATTGAGAAAAATAGAAGCAAGGCCTAAAGGATACATTTCCTCTACTTCAAAGCTTTGCCCAGGGAGCTGGCCCATGGTCTGGTGGCTAAGGGAGCTGGATTCCACATGGCTGCCTGTGCCTTTTGCATCTTGGACCCCATGGCTTGAGGAACATGCCAGGAGCATGTGTATTCTCAAAATCCCAAAACGAAGAAGAAATGGAGAAGAAGGGATTGCGGTATGGCCATTCTTCCTGGAAGGGGGCAGGGAATACTTTTCCCATTTCTTTCTCTCTGGCTTTTTCTGGTAAGTTAAAAAAAAAATGGATTTTGCCAGGAAGTATTGCACCATTTATGCTGGGGCTGCTATTTCCGTTCAGATGCAGAGGGCTCTGCTCACCTCCTGTCCAACATCCCCTGAAGATAACAATGATAACAATGACAATAGGATTTCCACAGAGGAATGGGTAATAACACTCAGCTGAAAAAGAACCACACAAGATGGAAGAAACCGTCAAGTGTGTGAGCTTGCCTCACTCAAAAGGTTGCAAGGTGCGCTTTGCTCATGATTGTCCCCTTCCTCTCCCTGTAAATCAGATCAATCAGTTAAAACTTGATGCTAACAAGAGACAGAGCTAACTGGCATAGGCATATCTTCTTCTTTTGTATGACCTTGAATTAAGTCCAGATGGGCGGTGCAACAGTTGAAGTCTCTCAACTGAAAAGATTAGGATGGAAAGTACCCTCTAAATCTTGTGAATCACTCATGCCTGCTCGAGCTTGCTGTATGAGTCTCGGGCTCTCACACACAGGATCAGAACATCATAGCTCAGAACCAGTGACCTTCGCTTGCCAATTGCACTTATCTCTTACCACTTCTCAATCTGCAGCCTCTCTTCCAGCAAAGCCAATTTCTACACGATCAGAACGTCATAGCTCAGAACCAGTGACCCCATCCTCTGGCCTTCGCTTGCCAATTGCACTTATCTCTTACCACTTCTCAATCTGCAGCCTCTCCTCCAGCAAAGCCAATTTCTACACTACCTAAGGAATAGAATGCTGAGTAATTGACTTGGAAAGAACCTCAGAGATGATCCAGTTCAAGAGATGATCAGAAAAGAACAGGACTTGATGATATTTTCAGACTTAAGAGCCCCTTTCTCTTCCTTCTTCCTTTGAGCTGTAAGAATACTATGCCTATAGTTGAATTTGGGAAAGTCAAAGAATGAATTCAGTTGTAGGAGCTGAATGGGGAAAGTAATTAATAATCTGGCTTGAAGTCTCCTTTGTTCATTCCCATTGGAGGTGGAAAGAGGAAACACACTGAGCTCTGAGAGTCTCAGTCCCTCCCTGGGTCATCTTTATCCGTTGCTCTCTACAGTGTTTGAGAATAATGGTTTCTCAGCAGTTAGACTCCTTCTAATCCTTTTTTTCTCATTCTTTCAAGGCACAGAGGGAGTTAATGAAGCAGATGCAACATTGCAAAGTAGTAGTTATCATTTTTAGAAAGGACCCTAAGAAGTGATCCACTTGCTTCTATACTTACGATCAGGGCCAGGAGTAGAGTGAGGTGAATAAGGTACTCACTTCAGGTATACATTTCAAAGGGTGGCAAAAATAAAAACAAAAACAAAACTAACTCAGTAATCAAGATGCATACATAGTATTTTAATAAATTAGTTTTTTAAAATAGTTTAATGCAAAAGAATCCCTGATGAACAAATACCAATTTTTTTTTAATTTGCTATAGGATGTGTGTGCTCACTAGAAAGAGACAGAGAGAGAGAGAGTGAGAAAGTATACCCCCCTCAAGAGGATGACCATACCACAGTCCATCAGTCCATTCTCTTCTCAGAATTTTGGGCACACACACACATACACACACACACACACACACACACACACACACACACACACACACACGTATGTCTGGCATGTCTCCCGACTCACCAGGTCCAGGACTTGAACCACACAGTTGGTCATGAGGGATCCAGACACCTTAACCACCATGTTGCCTGGCTGGTCCAAAATTAAGATCTTAAATAACAAGATCGGACTTGCACTAGGACAACTCATGTAACTGCCTTATGTGATCCTGTCAAAGTCTTGTCAGATTAGATTTGTAAAATTCAGATATTTTGTGCATCAAGAATTTTTGCATCAATGACTTTTTAAAGTATTCAATTATGTCCAGGTGATGGTGCACTGGGAAAGCAACTGGATCCACACGAGAAAGGTCCTGGATTTACATCCCAGGATCTCCCTGAGTAGTCTGGGGCACATGTATGCCCATGAACTGGGCTAGCAAAGACTGAGGGTGGATTGTGACTTGGGTATTCATGGGGGTGTTCTTGGCTCTCTGTTATTCTCTTGCCCATTGCTAGAAACAAGAAAGAAAGAAGGAAAGGGAGGGAGGAAGAAAGGAAAAATTGTTTAATTCAAATGATATTTATCAATGACCAGCAGATGGTGTAACGGTTACATTGCTGAACTCCCACATAGTCAACTGTGGTTCAAATCCCTGGCCCTGTGGCTTCAAATTTATGCTAGGTGCATGTGCATACATATGCAAGACCCCAGGAGGAGAACAGAGGAAAAGGGATAGCGGCATGGCCATTCCCCCTTGGAGAGTGATTTCTCGCTTTCTGTCACTGTCTCTCTGGTGAATACACACACCCTATAGCAAAAAACTCCCCCCCCAAAAAATCTAGGTTTAGGGGTTTGTTTGTTTGTCTTTTCCTTTTCACTTCCCCCCTTAAATTTTGTATCTGTAGAGAGCACCTACCTTACCTTAATCCTGGATTCACTCTTGGCTATATCAAATGGCCCAAAGACAAAGGACAAAACTTTGAAACACATGTAGAGTTTATGGTTTAATTCAGTAAAGATTTTTTTTTTTTATTGAAGCAGAATAAATCAATGCCAACTAGGTAATAGTGAAAGGATAAATTAATTACAAAGGCTACCCATATTGCTCAAGGCATTACCCCCTGTCCACAGTCCAGGTCTGCCTTCAGGACGAGCCTCCGTGCCGCTGAGAGAGGAGAGAGGATCTCTGACCCAGGCACAGACCTCAAGTTACTCAACATATCCCTGGAAATTCACTGGTCCGAAGTCATCACAAATGACAAGAACAAACCCCTCTGTGGGGGACATGTGGTACCTGCAGGCAGGATATCTGGAGCCTTCGAGGAGCTGACAGATTGTCATCCTGAACTTTGTCTCACTCTGGAAGCAGAACACGGAGGAATGGTTTCTGCAAGCCATCTTCTTGGGAGAAGTGCAAATACTATTGATTTTTCGAGGCCTCTCGTGGATGAAGACATGCTTCTTTTTGCACGCGTGGTCAGGTTCCCTGATGACTCTTTGTATGATCATATGGTTGCAGTACCTCTCAAGATGGCCATTCTGGGGGTAGTCCACATGCAAGTGCTCTATGGTGGGCGGCCCTATTTCGTCATTCATCTCATTTTCCCAGAACAGAATCAGCAAAAAAATGATCGCCATTAGGATCATCAGGGGTAAGATTCCCTTCACATTTCTGGCTTCTGTTGAGTAAGGGAAGACAGGAAATAGCAGAGGGTAGAACTGTTATAACCCCTGACTGCTCTCCCATCTTTGGGATTTTTATTTTCTACTCTGCTCATTAAAAACGGGCTGACACTACCAGATCAGCTGACGCTACAGCTCGTTCCAGAAGCCCTTTCTGGCCATCTCAGCTTTCAGAGTTTGGAGTTGAACTGTTCTCTAATTATTCCTGTTGTACTTGGTCGGTCTCTGTACATTCCTTATCTCCTATCTTTTCTAAAACTTTCAAAGGGCTTTAGTACAGAGCTAGACACACAAAGTCGCTCAAAAAGTCCCACACCAGGTGATTTCGTTTGTATTGCTGAATGACTTTGTTTCACATAATTTTCTCAACCCTAACTCCACCCGATTTCACACGTTGCTAGTACTGTCTACTAATCTGTTCTTTCCAGTGCTTTCCCAGTCCCTTGTGCTGATCCTGCATGGCTCTGTGTTAGCTGCTCTTACCTGTAATTTTTGCTGTCACTCTCACAGGTAACATGTCCTTTTGATCATGGATCTGAGATATTCCTGTGTCTCGCTGTTCCCTGACAGTCACAGACAGGAAGCCAGTTGAGTGTGGGGACAGCCAAGTGGAAAGCACAGAAAGGGAGGGACCTGTCGAGGAGTGTGCTTGGTGCCACTGGGAAAGAAGAGAAGGTACCTTCCGAGGGGTTGGGTAAGGCAGGTCCTGAATATACTCTCCCTAAAAAGTGTGGACTTTTCAAGACATTTAGTAAAGCCCTGATGCATGCCAGCCATTGTATTGTTTATTTTCTAAACTTTCAACTAGTCCTTAGTAGAAATATGGGATTTAACTATTGTCTTCATTTCATTGACAAAGAAACAACTACAGAAAGGTTAACATGGTGATGTGAAGTGACAAGCGTGGCAAGAGTGGCTGCAAAGAACTACAAGCGTTTATGTGTCTCTGATGAAGGGAATGGATAGGTAAATATGAGTTAGATTCATAAAATAAGGTCATAAAATAATGTACTAGACCCACAAACAATAACATGGATAGAAGTCAAAAACAGAAGGTGTGTGGAAGCGAGTAAGAGACAGAATAAAAGTTAATTTGGGTTTATTTTAATTTAAATGATGCTTGCTTTAAAATCATGCACATTTTCCCAGGATACTTATTATCTAAACATGCGTCTGCTCCCATTAACATAGGTACAAGTGATCCCATGTACAGGTACAAGTGATCCTATGTGACTTTTTTTTTTTTTGGAGAGATTTTCGCTATAGGGCGTGTGCGCTCGCCAGACAGACAGAGAGAGACATAGAGACAGAAAGTGAGAAATCACCCCCCAAGGGGGGATGGTCACGCTGCAATCCCTTCTCCTCCATTCTCCTCTCTGGATCTTGGGCACGCATGCACACATGCCCAGCGTGAGTTCTAAGCCACCGGGTCCAGGACGCGAACCGCAGTCGACTACATGGGAATCCAGCGACATAGCCATTATGCTAACTGCTAATTCCCCCATGTGACTTTTGAGACTAGGTCTCATGGCTTCCACTTGATGGTGGTTCTCTTGGGATCTTTACTCTGGGTACCTTCAGTTGGGACAAAATCTGACATGTAGGGGCCCCACATGAAGAGACCTCATGGTCGGAGAGAGATGTCCATGAACTGTCTGTCCCCTGATCCTCAAGTCTTCTCAGCCCAGAAAGTGAATGAAAGAGCCCATGAGATAAGCCAGCTCCAGCTCCAGTCACCATGTGAAGAAGCAAAAACTGCATATCTGAGCCCAGTCAACTTAAATTCAGGGTTAAAATAAATGGTTGTTCTTGTTTTAAGCCACCATTTTAGTGTGATTCATAAAGCAACAGTAGATAAACAGAACAGAAGCTCACCACTTTGCCAAACCTCCAAACCAAATCCAGTACCACAAAGTTTTAGCAGGTGACAGATACTGCTAAAGTTTTTGGGGGGTGGTTAGAGCATAGGTTATCATACAAACAGTAGTGCAAAGGTAGTTTTAAAAATCTCCATTTGCTAATTAGTTCCATTTGAACTGATCCCATCTCATCCCTTCCTCTGCCCAGAGAGCCTCTCCGTGTACCCACAGTGCCTGCTCTTCCATGTTTCCTGGACTCTGCCTGTCCCTCCCTCCCTCTACCGTCACTTCAGTCACCCTGTGACCAAATAAGCACCCCACCTACCATACCTTCGCTTCAAAACTCAGTGGAGTATTATGAATCATAAATAATATTTGCTGCCTAGCAAGTATAAATCTTATTCCACAAACTTGGGCAAGAAAATGTATATTGCTTTATTGCTTCTATTTCAAACTAAAAGTAAATCTGAGTTTTCTGCCCTGATAAGAAAATTTCAGCTCATGTCCTTATTAAAATTTCTTTTTCTTCCCTAGCTGGGGTCCCAGTGGAATCTGGAATATGTATTGTTCATGCTCTTTCTGCTCACTGTGCGTCCCATCATGGCCAAAATCACTAATGAAAGGACAAACTGTTATCATTTGCTTGTCAGAAGAATTCCTGAAATACAGGATTCTTGAGTCCTCTCAGCCCAGATTCAGATTCATTGCTGTATTAAGACTTGATTTCCCTGATCACCTACTACACGTGATTTTTGTCACCTATTGTAATAAACTTTTATCACTTTTATCATTCACATAGATGAGGGTACTGGCAGGTAGTATGGTGGTTAAGGTGCAGGGCTTCCACATGGCTGAAGTGGAAGTCCTGCTCCTGCTGGCTTGCCTTCTCACTTTCCTGCTCTCTCTCTCTCTCTCTCTCTCTCTCTGGTCAAATTAAAGATAAGCATAAATAAAATTAAAGGAGTAATTCTTAAAAAAAAAAAGAAAAAAACCCTATTGGGGGTGCTACCTATATCTGTTTATCACTCATGAAAGACATTTTTAAAAATACTTATTCTTAAGAGAGAGATTTTTGCTATAGGGCACGTGCACTAGCCAGAGAGACAGAAAATGAGAAATCACCCCCCAGGGGGATGGCCATGCTTCTCCTCCATTCTCCCCTTGGGATTTTGGGGCACACATGCACATGCACCCAGCATGAGTTTTAAGCCACTATGTCCAGGACTCGAACTGCAAGCGACTACGTGGGAGTCCAGAAACGTAACCATTATGCCATTTGCTGGTCCTCCAAAAAAATTTTTTTAAAGGATATAATAATCACAGTTATGTAGAAAATGCCTTTGCATTTTGGAGATATATTCAAAAGTACATGTGTGAAATAGCATGATGTCACGTATTTTCTTCCAAGACATAAAGAAAAAAGGAAGGTAAATATGGAAAGAAGGAAAGTAGGCAGAGAGAGAGTTAAAGTGAGAGAAAACCAGTAGGGCATTTTTTTTTTATACTCATTGCCTTCAGAAGAATAAGTGTAATAGAACCCATTATTCTATTTGCTCTGATTTTATGTATATTTCAGGTATTTATTTAAAATTTAAAATTTTTTGCTGTCATAAAGTGTACATCTGGTGAAGGGAAATAGATAATGAAAAACAAACATAATAATCCATCAATACTTCAGTGTTTTAAAAGACAATAAATGTAGGAGGACTAGCACAACCGAAGATTATCTGCCCAGACTTCACCCTCCTGACCCCAAGATCTAGGTCAGAGTAATCCTCAATTCCCATGGAATCTGCTGTACAAAGGGAGAAAAACAGAACTGGAGAGAGATTGCAGAACACCTCTTCCTGCACAGCTCTGAATGTTCAGATTTAATTCCAAAAATTAGGAAAAAAACATATAATCCATTAGATGACCAGAAACCACTGCAGAAGCACAAGAAATGAGAAGCCAAGAAAATATCTCTCTCCCAAGGGAAGAGAATAATTCCTCATCCTGCACAGACAATACAATGGAACTTGTGGAAATGTCAGATAAAGAATTTAGACTATTCATAGTGACGAAGCTAACAGAGATGCAAGAGAAGAGAGACAATGAACTCCAGAAGATGAAGGAAAAAAGAAACAAGTTCCAGGAGGTGAGGAAGTTCTTGCAAGATCTGAAAGAGGAAATACACATCATAAAAAATAATCAAATGGAATTGTTAGAGATGAAGGCTGTAATACAGGAAATCAAAACTTCCTTTGAAAGTATTAAATGCAGATTAGATCATGCAGAAGATCAAATCTCAAATGTAGAAGACAGAATCTCTGACTTAGAAAATTTCAAAGGACCCCACATAGAATCAACCTGAGAAGATCTTCTCCAAGGCACATCATAGCCAGATTGACCAAAACTACAGAAAAAAGATACTAAAATTGGCAAGAGAGAAATGTCAAATTACTTTCAAAGGATATCTTATCAGGCTAACATCAGAACTCTCATTAGATTGCAAACAAGGAAAGAATGGGAAAATATATTCTAAGTGTTAAGTGAAAACAATTTCAGCCAAGAATTCTATACCCAGATTATCCTTCAAATGGGAAGAAAAGACAAAAACATTCTCAGATAAACAAAACCTGAAAGAATTTACCAACACCAGACCAGGTCTCCAAGAAGTTCTGAAGGGAGTGATGTTCCTGGAAAACTGAAGTCAGATACAGAAATAAGAGTATAAAAAACAATCAAGAGAATGGCCAACTTAATGGTAGAGACAAGTCTGGAAAGATCAGTAATAACATTGAATATTAACTTCCAGAATTTAAACAGAATCAACAGAAGAGAGATTAATTACATGAGACTGAACTGGTGAAATAGAATTTTATGACTTTTGCCTAAGACATGACTGATTTTCTTCTATGCTTTGTTTTCCAGATTTAAGGATTTTTGTCTTCTCTTGATAGGTTCATCTACCTACTGTTTGAATGGAATCCTAACTTTTTCTTTGCTGTAAGTCTTAAACAAACTTCTCTTAACATTTTTTAAAATTTTGATCTATTAAAACTAAAATTGTTTTTCTTGAAATTAAAAAATGCATTGGAAAAATACCTATTTAATGACTGCAATTAACTATACAGCCCCAACTAGGTGTTACTTTACAATATGTTCATTCAACTCACTGAGATTTATGCTTAAAATCAGACAAGTGTTCATAGATATGTTTGTATCAGCTGCACTTGCTATTGTAAGTATTTAGATTACTTAAGATCTTTCTGGCAGGAGGGTGCGGCAGATGACATGGTAGTGAAGGGCTCTGGACTCCCACATGGCTGACGAGTCCTGGACCTGGCAGCTTGTTTCCTCACTTTCTCTCAGTCTCTCTCTCTCCGTGTGTGTGTGCTTCTCTAGTCTAACTAAAATAAATAAATAAATACATAAGTTTTGTTTTTGAGAGGTTTTTCCTATAGGGTGCATGCGTTCACCGGAAAGACAGAGAAACAGAAAGCGAGAAATCACCCCCTAAGGGGGATGGCCACACCGCAATCCCTTCTCCTCCATTCTCCTCCACTCCCTACTTCTGTAAGTTTCACTATTTCAAATTCCGCGCATAAGTGAGATCCTGTGGCATTTGTCTTTCTGGGTCTGCCTTATTCTACTTAATCCAATGTCCTCTAGGTTGACGCATGTTACCACAGATGACAGAATTTCCACCTTCATCAAGGTTGATAGTATTCTGTTGTGTGTGTGTGTGTGTATAAAGGGATCTTCA